GATTCTTGGAGTCTGCAAAATGCTGCTGGGTGAGGGTCCGCTGGAGGGAAGAGCCGGCTGCGCCAAAGGCCACGTGGCTGCGGCTGCGGCCAGGAGTGGCGCGCGGCTGAGCGGTGGGGCCAGGCGGCTCCCCGGCTACCCAGCTCCGCGGCCGGCTCCTGCCCCAAGTCCGGCGAGGCGCTCCACTGACAGCGAAAAGTTCAAAACTGCGGACAAAGGCTGTCGGCAGAGCCCATTGCCTGCAGCTCACCGCCCGCGTGGGACTCTAACTCCACGGCTGCAGCCACCAGCGATAAATCCGGCGGCTTCCGCAGGGGCGCATCGAAGCGCCTCACCGCCACGAACGCGGGTCCCACGGGAGACATCTCGTAAGCCCCTCGGAAACAGGCTGGCAACGGTTTTCTTTGGTTTAACCTCACCTGGATTTTGTCTGAACAGCAGCAGTTGGAGAGTCCCCTGCCTGACCCAGGATGTCACACTGGCACCACTCCCCGCAGCAGAGGTGACAAAAGGTAGGAGTCATGGCTCAGCTGGCATGCCAGATTTCAAAGGAACACTGGGGACAGGAAGTAAGCCAGGGCTCGGCTAGAACAAATGACCTAATGAAGGATGATTCTGTAGCGGATATTCGGCAACTCAAATTACAGAGGCCGGGAGGAACGTGGAGAACGGAGATTTGATCCTGCCGACAATGACACACACAAGGAGATTTTGTCAAGTAGAACGTGGCAGCACAAGTCTCCAGGCCAAAAAGGATACACTGTCAGGGGGTGGCTGTGCCTCCCGTCCACGGGTCTGTCCACTTCAGGGTTACATCAGAGACTGAGAAGAATGGAGATTTGCACCTGGAAGAGAAGTTCTTGGCAAGGATGCAGCTAACTGTCAAGGTCATAGCTAGTGTTTCCAGGCAAGACTTTAGTGATAGAAACGTAAGCTGAAAATATGAGAAAAGCCTGGTCCTACGCAATGGCAGATACAAGAGTCCGAGAGACGGAGGCGGCCTGGGGGAGGGAGCAGCCACACTGCCTGGGCTTTGGCAGAGAACCTCCTTGTCCCCTCCATTGCTGGAAGAGCCAGAAGTCCAGCCGCTGCGTCTCACGCAGAGCAGGGCTGGGGCAGCAAGACCTCGGAGCCCACGACGCCTTTGCCAGCTACTGTTTGTCTGAACACATTCGCTTGTTTTTTTCCACCAGTTTCTCTTCAAAGTGTCCATATTCTAGCTGGCTTTAGGATGAGCTGACACAATGGGTGAGGAGATGGCAGTGGCTCAAATATTCCTCCTGCTGGCTCGCTGTCATCGCCAGCGGGTCCCAGGTCGGCGTCACTGTGGCAAGCTGCTGCTGCTGTGACCTCGGCACAGGAAGGGTAAGAAGGTGCTGCCAGTCGGGGCACTTGGCCCTTGGGAGTATACGAGCAGGAAGTTCCAACAGGTGGGAGAACAAAATTGCCAGCCTGAGGGGACAGCCTGCCAGAAGCTGGGGTTTCAACAAGCCGCCAAAACTGCTGGGCAAAAAAGCAACACACGGCAGCCAGCTCGTGAGTCAGAGGGACAGCTACACACTGGCGCCCCACGCTCCACGGCAGTGGAGACGTCGGTGGTGTGAGTCCAAATCACGCGCTGCCTCTCACAGGGCTTTAGAGACCTTTCAGAAGGCACTTCCACATGCGTCAGGCCTGTCACCCCCCCGAAGTCACTCCGTGATGTGGACAGGGCAACTGCTGCCACCTCCGCTGCACTCTGGGAAAGAAACGCTTGAGGTGGGAGCACAGTGTCACACAAGACCCTCTGTGCTTCGCTGTGACACAGCTGTCTTCACTTCTCTCGGAAGACATTGCTAACGCAGAGCTATACCGCCCAGGATACTCACCTTCAAAGAGGGGACAAGTGTGCAGAGCCCTCCAGAGGCCGGGTGCACAGCTGAGGGCGGCGCCTTCTGCACCTGCACAGTCCTGCTGTGGCGCTGGTGGTGGGAGTGCGTGACTGCTGAGCGAGGGTCCAAGATGCTGCTTTGAATTAATCCGCACGAGCACCACTTCCTCAGTCGAGAAGATAGTCTGCCAGACGCGAGAAATTAGCTTCCAATTTGACTGGCTTTGCCTGTCAAGTTCATTAGACAATCTCTTCACATTTTTCCTTAAAATCAAAATTTTCCTTTGAGGTTGAAATTCTATCCCAAAGTTCTCCCCGGACTCAATAAGGCCGACAGGTGAGAAATCTACAGATCACTCACTCCACTGCCACCACATCTAAAAAAGCCCCATAGTCAAGAACGAAGCATAAGGCACGTTTCATTAGTTTTTTTAAAAGAACTATGGTGGAGGCATGTGATTATTTTTTACTGGAGCTATATATGCCTTTTTGATATTCTTCTGTAAGAACGAATGTACTTAAAATTCAGAAACATATTGCTTAAAATAAAAATTTCCAGTTACCGATACATCAAAACCACAATATTAGAACAATGCTGTTAGTTATAATATTTTGTGATGTAAAATTAGGTTCTGTAGTTAAGGACAGATGCATGTCTCTTCATAGACCAGACACCATCTCCATAAAAGTCACAGGTCATGTATTCATCTGAAGTGCCACCACACTGTAGCTGTTCTCAATATAAACTTTCCTGCACTACAAACAAGACCCCACCAATTAACAGTTAACACTGACGACGTCCAGGCCATTTAGGAGCAAGCATCTAATTCTGCCAATGGAACAACTCTATTAGGCAAGAAACATATTTTGGCTCAGGAAATGATAGAGGAAATTCTAGGCAAAAATTTGAAAGAATGATTACTTTATAATTGTCAAATAACAGGCAACTTTACTTTTAATCATATGTTTTAATTTTCTGTTTATTCGATTTGCTGGTGAGAATCCAAGATATCCTATTTCTTGAACATTTTTCCAGGCTCATTTTCAACAGGTTGCGTGGAATTATAAGCTAAAATATTAAAAAGAAGTTCACATTTTTACACACTGTAGCTTAAAATAACAATTTTTCTTTTTTGCAAGAAAAATCACTTGTCTTTATAAGGAAAAGAAAGTAAGAGGGTGTACCGTAAAGAACTTTTAAGTACGCCTAATCTTCAGAAACTATTTTCAATGCATATTTTACTGTTATCCCATGAAGGAAAATGAGGTAATGTATATTCATACATTTCTCTAAACTTTAAAGTCGCCTAAATACGTTTACATTAGGTTAATGAAGAACTACTATTATTATGACACTCTCGATCTTTCTCTAAATTGTGAGCAGGTCCACACACGTGCTTTCTCTTTTCTCAAATTAGATTTCCATGATAATTCTCATTGCTAAAGATATGTATTGTCAAAGATTTTTCCAAAATTTACTTTTCTCATTTTCTTTTAAACTACCAAGCCTATTTGAATATGGGCTGTTATTTAAAAAAGTATTTCTACACTATTTCCATGTTAAATTCAATCTTATAGCACCCCCCAGCCTACAGAAACAGTCTAAATCACACCTGCAATATACTTAATTTTAAATTAGTAATTTAAACTGAAGTTATATTTCCATATGGAAACCAGTTTCAAAAATAACGTGCTTTGTAGCTCAACAATAGCTAGTCATATATTGAGCTGATTGAGACAAACCACATAAACACATCTAAAGACAGGTTATTCCGTGACAGGACTGTATGATCTAAACCACGATCGATGGCATGTTGAACGCATACTGGAGAGGCAGGGAGGTTTTATGTGCGTTGGGCAATGCCAGCTCCTACAACAGGGTGCACCCAAGCCATTTCCACGGCACAGAAAGACCTCCGTTCCTAACGTTCTCCTACCTCATCCTGTCTGTACGCATGCATTTGTTCTAGGCTCAGCTCTAGCCTTTCTGAAGCGTTATGCAGCGTCTCTCAAGTAAATACAGGGCATTGTTTTAAACACAGGAAATAGTGGTGACTGTTGCATGCATTACAATGCTCTCGATATAAAATTATTTGGGACTACACAATCAAACACTTTTAAAGAAAGGTCATTTTTCTAACAGTAATCCTGAAGGACTCAAAATGGGGGATTAGGCTGTTTTGTTGCACCTCCGAGGACAAGAGAGAAATGAAAGGGCCGTGCAAAGCGTTCAGTGAAATAACCTGCGCCCTGAAGAACAGAAACGCTCCCACATAAACACGTTCGTCTCCTAAGGAGAACGATTCTTTCGCATTGCAAACGCCGGCGGCGGACAGGCTCGAATAACACTTGAGACAAGTGAACGTTTGCGTTCCTGAAATCTGTCCATATGGATGCACGTCCCAGACCCTCGGGTCCTCTGCCACTTCCCACCTACGTGCAGCCCGAACGACCACAATCCAACACGCGGTGCGCGAGGCAGACAAGTGAATTCCACGGCGGGTCACCTGCCCCTCACGCCACCGTTTGAAAACACGCAGAAACTAACCCAGCTGTGAGGAGGCTGCGCCCTGGAGGGTTCGGGAGGGAAGACGCCGCGCAGTCCCCCCGCGGCGGCTCCGCGAGTGTGGACTCTGCGGGTCGGCGACGACGCGCACCTGGACTGAGCACCTTCTCCAGGTGCTTGCTCCACCGAACGCCGAATTCACCTCCTCGCCGCTGAAACGCACTCGGAACAAGCGCCCACTGCGACGTCGCCGGGTATCTGCTTTAGCTTCTCAACAGCGTCGGGAAACCAAATGGGGACCCGCACGCGACAGCACACGCGCGTGCCACACACACCGAGCCCAGAGGCTCTTCCCGTCCGTCCACTTTGTGCCTCGGATCCGCCATCCGGGAGCGGGATTGTGGGCGCAGTAGCGCGCGGCGCGTCACGAGCTCCCCCGGCCACCGCTCGCATCATTCCCGAGCCTTTCCAGGCACTTGGTGGCACCCCCACCCTCAGTCCCGGAGCTTAACTCCGCACCAGACCGCGCTCTCTCCAGGTTCAGGCTGCCCCAAATCGACAGACCAGCTCCCTCCTTCCTCCCAGGACCCTCTTTAAAGCCCCCAAAGCAAAGCCATTTCCTACCAGCGCCGAAAACTTTTTCCTCCTTCCGCGGCGCAATGAGGCAGCAGACCAGGGCCGACGGTGCGGCGCGTCCTCACCTAGGCGCTGCGCTCCAGGTGCCGTCCCACGCCTTCGTCCCGCCTCGAATGCCCCCGAGACGCCGGGCCCCAGGTCCCTCGTCGCCTCTGGCTCGGCGTTCAGGGAGCGAGCGTCCTAGGAACGCGCGCCCGGCG